TGAATGTTTTTGGAAGGCACGTTTCCTTTTATTATACTTAGAAAAACAATTTCAAAACAAGTTGAATTTCAAAAAGTAGGCTACATGCTGGAGCTATTTTTAACATTTTTCATTAACAGAAAACAATATGTATCAACAAATGATACAACTCATATTCTCAGCAAAAAACAAAAACAATAAATCGGAGGAATTTTAATATCAGAACCATCCTTCTCTTTGTAATAAAAGTAATGCAAATGAAGGAGTGTAGCACTGTATATTTATGCCAAACTCGACAGCAATATCATAACCATAACTATCAGCTAAATCTTTCAAGATGATCTCACAGATACAAGAAACAGCCCCAAAGTAAAAGAAAGCATTCAGAGAAAGAGAAGGGAAGATAAAAACCCTTTACAAAAGGGGCATGAAGAATTCTGAGCACAAGGGATTTACTCATTTACTGTTTCCCCATTGAATTTAGATACCAACCAGGGTCAAAAATGAAGCAAAAATGCCCTGTTTTTATTTTGTATATTCAATATCTGTTTTTATTTATTATATTCTACTTATTTGTTTTGTTCTAGGCACATATCACATAAAATATGTTGATGTTGAGTTAATTTTACGGGTTAGAGGTAATAAATTCTCCAATTATTCAGATTGAAAAATCAAGTTAAGGGATTTATTAATTTATGTATTTTATAAAAATATGACACATTAGATTAGCCATATATGGAGCAGATTTGAAAAATAGCCCTCGTAACAATACAACACACCTGGCACATATTGGAAAATGTATTTTCTGACACTGATACTAACAATAGGCTAATCAATATCAGAAAAGCCTCCACGATTACATTACAGATTACAGCCTCATTTCCCCTACAATATCTTGGGAAACCATTTGGAATAACATTAACCAAGCTTCTAAAAATCCCAATCATAGATCTATTCATTTACGATTTATATACAGAACCTACTTAACACCTAGAATTAGATATTTGATCAAGCTAGAGCCATCTCCACTGTGTCAACTGTGCTCACAGGGCAGTATAGGTACTTTTCTTCATATGTTTTGGGAATGCTCTGAAGTACAGTCCTTTTGGTCACAAGTCACTAAGTTTTTATCTGAAATTCTTAATAAGGAGATTCCTTGCTGTCCTATTTTATGCTTGTTAAATGATAATTCTCAGGTTCCAATGTCTAGACATGAAAAAAGAATTTGGCTTTCTGGCTTAACTGCTGCGAAGAAAATGCTGGCAACAAGGTGGAAACCACCACATACTCTTTCGTTGCATCACTGGTGGAACTTCCTGTTAGACATTCTTGCGTTGGAGCTTTCTGCGGCACGTTCTCATGGTGCTAAAGGGCAGACCATAAGGTCTTGGTCAGAAGCTTTTAAAGCTACTAAATTTCTTGCTGGGGGGGGGGGGGGGGGGTGCGGTAGATCACTCAGTAGGGAGGGTAGAGGGGGATTAGATAAGGTTTAAAATTGTTCAATTTTATGCATATTCTTGTGTGTGTAGGAGTGTTGTGGTGTGTGGGTAAAGTTGAGATGTGTGAGTGAGAGAATGAAGGTATTTATGTTGTGTTTCTGGTGCATATGTATGTTGGTGGTGAATATGTATATGTTTGTTAATATGAAAGCAAATACAAAATAAAAAAAAAATAAAAAATTGTTCACAAAAAAAAAGAAAAGCCTCCACACTGCATAAAGGGGTAAAACAATGTTGTCATCAACAGCTAAATATAATGTCCCATATCACACAATGAACCTATGAGTACACACACACACATAAAGAGAGGCACACAAACATATGTAGTCAGCAGAGTTGCATGCGGCAATGTCAGCAGTGTCTATTGTCATACACGGTTCTGTATACATCCTTTCAGCTGTGTTATTGTGAAATAGAAAAAAAAAAGATGTGCTGACAAACAAACTCAAGCATCAAAATATATCACTACAACCCACCACAGCATTTTCACAAAAAACCTTTTTGGGTCGAGTGAACAGCATATGCGGAGCAGGTTAAGGGTCACCGCTAAAATTCACACGGGCATGACATTTTTTTTGGGGTGGTCCCCTTCTCCTTTCGAATTCAATGAGCAGACTATATAGCGGTTCTCCTCATGTGATGATGAAATATTGAACAACAAAATGCATGTGATTTTAGAAACATTCGGCTGTTCCTGACAGAGGAAATCTATTCATTCCATCTCCCAGAATACATTTCTCTAATGCCCTCTCACTCTCAGAGCGCTGACAACCAGCCAGAGAAACAGGGAGGGCTAAAGAAAATGATGGAGGAAGAACCAGAAGACGAGAAAGTGTATTCTGGTGTGAATTTGATGATTCCCATGGAGGTGATATAAGGTAGTAGCACACTTGATGACACCTGATGAGTACTGAACTAAGAACTGTGGGTAATAACTGAGACTGTTCAGCTCCACCTGTCAGACAACCTGCAGTTAGTGTGTCTGCTGCACCCAGAGCCACTTATCTGAGTCTTTATGGATAGAAAGAGGGGAAGTGAACATCACATTGAGTGGTATGGTATAGGAAACCATATCTTATTGCAATTTGCAAAATTGTGCTAACAAATTATATAAATCCATGGATAAATAAAATCTAGTGTGAGATGTTAAGTGTTTATGCACTCTAAAAAATGCTGGGTTGGTTTAACCCAAATTTGGGTCAAATATGGACAAACCCAAATGTTGGGTTAAAAATGTAATTTAAACATTTAACCCAATGGCTGAGTTTGTCCATGGGTTAAAACAACCCACCAAGTGTGGGAACTCACGTCCAAGTTATTGTGGGAAGCTGAACAGGTTCTGCCTTGCTTTTATTGGCTGGATGGGCATGAGCAGTTGCTTTTGGACCGAAAGATGTGTATCAGTGCATTGGATCCATGCATTTAGCCTTAAAGTGACAGTGGTAAGAATGAATAAAAATAATATAAAAAATAAAATGAAAAATACTTCAACTGCCAGTTATTGTATACTTTGAAATGTGCGTTCCATGTTGGAATGTCTGTTTTTGTTTTGGTCTGTGTGATGATCTCGTCCACTGCTAGTTATTTGGGAAATATAGGTGGTTTGCAGTCACGTGATTGTGTTAACGCGCAGAATGCAGATGGACAGCAAGGAGTGAAGAGCACAATGGACGAGATGGAGGTAAATCTGTACTGTACTACTTTAGACGTGATTACAAGAGAAATATATAAACAGAAAATCGAAACATATGTTGGACGTGATCCTTACGTTATGAAGAGGACCGATTTTTAACTGAATTGAGAGACTTGCCTGCCATCGAGGCTGTAGATTTCAGCAACTAACTCGTCTTACAGACATACTTTGACTTTACAAAGTTCGGAAACTGGTACGTTACACAAACAGCCACATAAGTGTATTTAAACACCTGAATAATGTAATTATAAGCCACATAAATAATGTATTAACTCACATTTGACGAAGTGATCACTGCACACACACACACATAGGCATTTTCCCATTCGACTCCTCCCGACCGCAGACGTAGGTTTGCAAGGCATTTTTCCCTTTGTTTTTCTGTCAATTTCTTGTATTTTCCACCCTTATGAACAACAACTTTTGGCACATGATAAAAACTCCTCATGGTTTGATCGATTTGAGCAACCATAAATGATGCAAAACATAGGCATTTTGAGTGTGTTATAGTGCTTCCTAAATATAGAAAATCACTTCCTGCCCTCCATCTGCAAATCACGCCATGGCAACGCAGTGGCGTGACGTCACGAAAACAAGCTATTATCTAGGCTTGTTTATTTGCACAATGCATATGTGTTACTGCACTGCATTTTTTCACAAATTGACCTTTGTACTTGCACATTGCTTTCTGTTTGCTGAGTTTTTCTTTGCAAAGCAGATCAAGTTTGTTTGCGAGTCACATTTTCCTTTGCAAAGAAGATCGAGTTTGTTTGTTTAATTCTGGCACAATATTAACTCCATAAGATTCTACCCAACCTAAAAAGACTTGGCATCCATCTAAAAATCTCTATGAAGGAGAGCATTTTAAAACGCGGATAAATCAACTCATACACTTTCTCATTTAATTCTCCTCTGCTTTTATTTGTCAACTGCGCTTGTTCCTGTTGCGTGTTCTCCAACTGGCAACCCGAGTGAGTGTCGAGTCTGAGGAGGAGGAAGGGGAAACTGCAGTACCTATTTCGACCATCAATTTAATTAAACCCATTATATATATATATATATATATATATATATATATATATATATATATATATATATTCGACTAAAATCTAATATTTAATCGACTAAAACTAAAAGAAATTTGGATCACTAAAATATGACAAACTAAATTACATTTTAGTCAAAAGACTATGACTAAAACTAATTTGCTATCAAAATGAACACTGGAGTGGAGCTTGTATGTATGGAAGATAGAACTGAGGAAGCAGTAGAGTAAAAATGTAAAAGTGAGATTCACCGATAAACACAAGCAAGCAGTGAAAGCTTTTCTTGTTTACCAGTGGATGTTTTTCACCTATTCATGCATAACTTTGGTGAATATTCATATATTGAAGCAGAGCCTGTGTATCTTCAACTATTTTCCACTAAAAATTGTAAACTTGGCTAGAGAGCCATAGACCCCACTTTTAATATATATTCACCTTCAGTTCAAGGGCCCAGTGGAACTAATTGGCCATTAAGTCATTTTTGGCCCTTGAGCTGTACGGCAAACATCATCCATTGCATCGTTGAAGTGCAGCTGTGGTTGGCAAACAAAGCCAGAATCAGCTGTGTTTTACATCACGAGACTCCCGGCTCTCCTTGACTACACCAAAACATGTTTTTTTATTTATGTAATTTTATACATTTATATGCAAAAAATGTAAAAATAAAAACTGATTTTGAAGAAAAATTTAACAAGCCATCTGAAAAGTGCCATATGTCGAACAAAAAGAAAAAAGTCTGTTAACTGTGTAAAAAGATCAAATCGCACAATCAGTCAAACAATATGCATGTTATGATCTCTCATTTATTTCTGTTATAAGGAAAATACAACAGTATTCCATAAAAGCAGAGGTGGAGAATCCATGGGGCTTTGTCCAGTAGTAATCATAACAGAGCACTGAATCCTGGGAAACTCCAGGACTGTATTTACACTGTGCAATAACAGAAACCTCAATGGTTGAAGCAGATAAAACAGACACACGCAGTTCCCTTTCCATCATAATAACTATAGAAATTCAAAGAAACTACTCCAGTCTCTTTCCACTCGTTTCGGTTTTCCATCAAGTACGATGCAGAGATTCAATCCTCAGTCCATTTTTCACCTGGGATGCATATGATGCGGTAGCCATCTATTAAAATGTGACATTGCATTTGGTTTCGTGAGGGGCAACAGAGCACATAGTTACAGGCAGCCAATTTGAAAAGTTCATTCAAGTGTACATGATAAAAACTGTATTTCAGACCAGCACCAAGAATGTATGCAAAAGCAGACGCATCACAGAATAAGATGATGAAGATGACTTTGAGCAGAGGAACTGTTCTGAGTTACTCTGCCAGCCTGAAGTACTGGGATAAAGCAAAGGGAGGTATGTGTTTGAACTACAGCCAACTGATATGGTCTCCTCATGAAGCACACACACACACACACACACACACACGTCTGTCCTCCAAACAGAGTGCAAAGCCTAAGGAGTCCTACTCCCGCCATTAAACATAAGATCTGAAAATACACTGCAGTGTAAAAGTTCATGTATTCATACAAACCCATTAGATCTGTGAGACAGGGGGTTTCTTAAACCATATTGTGGAGTTAAACAAGAAGAAAACAAAAAAGAGAGACAGACAGACAGACAGACAGATCGATCCATGGAACAATGGAATCACAGAACAATAGATAGAACGCTAGGTGAAAGATAGATAGAAAACTATGTAGATGCTGATCCAAATGCAAAAGCCTCACACAGCTTAGGGATATCAAAAGTATCTAGAAATATATATCTACAATAGTTATGACACATACAGACAACCAAGCTTAAAAAAAATACAAATATTAAAAATAAAAAGATAAATGACGGCCTCTCTGCCCTTTTCTTGTGTCCCCTCTGCCACTCTGCCGCCACCCCCCCATAACACATCATATTAAATAAGGCACAAATTTACACAATTAAAATTTGGCTAGTTATTGTTCATCTATTTACACAAAACAGTTTTAGTGTTAATATTGATACATTGTTTTTAACATAATAGGACAATAGTATGAAATAATTTTGTTCTGGACACTCACGCGATGTCCTAGCGAGGTGCGACCAGTTTCAGTGTCAAACTGCTTCACTGGGCAACACATTCAGAACCAATCAGCAAGTATTTGATGTTTAAAACTGGAGCAGAAGTATAGACCAATTCGATTTCACTGTGGGTGGGGCTATGTATAAGTGGTCAGGATTGGACTCAGGGGACAGCTTTAATCACTTTATCCCACCTGGTTAGGACACAGTGTTCAATGAACTGTAGAAGATTAAACATTTTTAATTCACTTTTACAGATTACAATTTTTCCAGAGAAGACTGAGGGTAAATACTGTAACACATCTGCAGCGTATAGACAAAGAATACATTCCGCTTAGGTATATACTTACATCTCCTTCTTAACACTAAGGCCGATTCATCTCACTGGGTGCAGTATTTTGATGTAACTGTTTCTCTAGCCACATTTAATCATCTGAAATTTAACTTTATGTATTGAGTTTGAGCTGCATTACACGGGAGTGGACAGGATGGGGTGGGTATTATTGCTTGTGGTTTTTATAGAGATCTCTTCAGGTTGTGTGGGAATTTTACAGCACATCTGCTTTCAAAATAAGGCAAAGGAACTTGTTGAGGGGGATAAACCATTTCGGTAATCTAGATACATACACTGGGTATGTATTTGTACATACACGCACACACATACATATATATTTATATATATATATATATATACACATACACGCACACACACATGCATATATACACATTTCTAATTGGGATCAGTACAGTTCATCAACTCTACATCAACAGAATAGTTAAGCCAAAGCAAGAAATATCAGGATATCAAACAAGATGTGTACACTTGTTCGGATAAAAGTTCAGGTACGGAGTTTAGGATGAGTGACACCTGTCCAAAGTGAGACCGTAAAGCCACGCACTTATCACTGTGGCAGCCTAAATCTAGGTGGACTCTTGTAACTCCTCCCCTCGTAATGGCCAATAGCTGAGCAATACCAATATGGTACAAATATATTTATGAAACAGAGAAAAAACAGGTCATAGTTCAAATGTAAAGTCAACAACACTGGCAGCCAATCTTTTTCCCATGAAGGCAAGTTTTTTGTCCAGTCTTTCAATTTTTCTTGACCACAATCAGTTCTAAGAGGTCGAGTAGCCTTTTACGAAAAACCACAGGCTTTTCTTCTCCATTGTTCAGTAGTTGAACTTCCCTGCCTGGTTGACAGGTGAGCTAGCAGGGATGAACAGTGGTTTGGGTGGGACGTCAGGCTTGAGCGAAGCTGTCCGACGGACAATAGCTCCACGGTGGACTTCCTGCTGATCGCTGTAGCTATGCTGGCGAGTTAGGTATCCATTAGGGATGAGCGGATGCCGTACATCGCAACCTGAACTGCTGCCGTTAGAGTTCATTCGGGACAGCAGGAGGGGCTGATGGGAGCTGCGCTGGTTGAAGCTGTGCTGCCGAGGCACCACTCCCCCGCTGGGCATCTTGGGGGTTGTTATCAAGGAGTGGCGTTGCGACTGGTGACGGGACACTCTCTCCAGGGTGGACTGATGATGGGGAGGGATCTCCGGAGGAACATCCATGCGTCGAGTGAGACTGTCCCGAGGAAGCGTGGAGGAACTGTAGTATGGCGCAGTCTCCGTTTCCGGTATATGTGGCTGTACGCGATTGGCGAACGCCATCTGACCGGCATGAGCTGACATGGAAGAGGTGAGTACAGTCGGACTTTTACCCGTGGCCACGTTGATTTCGTGAATGTGTTTCAGAAGCTCGTCAAGCGAGGTAACATCCACAATCTTGTGTGGGTAGCAGTGATACGGCTGGCTTACCACCCGCTCGGCGTTGTGGACTTTGCGTTCCTCCAAGTGTGCCGAGCCACCTAGTACCTGTCCGTTGGTCAGTCCTTGGGAGAAGGGGAAAATCTGATGCTGCATCCCAGGGGTTGGCCGAGATGCTCCCATGTTATGGGACTTGGGTTCTTTAGCGTTGTTGCAGTTTTGATTCTTCTCCCATTGGTTCTTGAAGGCCTTCATACTCTTGATGGGGAGCTCTGGTGTCGAATCAGGGGTGGGAAGGCCGGAGAGCTCAGCAGAGTGGTGATGATGGGGGTGAATGAGCTCTGTCATGGCAGCATGGTGGGCGTTCCGGCGATGCGCCTGCTCTTTTCCATTAGCAAAGAAAGAGTTGTAGAGTTTGGGTGAGGATACCTCCAGCTTCTCATCCTTGCTTTGGCTCTCCAGCAGGCCGTTCAGCTTGGCTAGGCTGCGCAGGGATAGAGCATGTGGGATCGGCGCTTCTGGATCTTTCGACAGCCTCTTGGTCTTGTTAACGTTGTGGTTGCAGTAACAGGAAACGAGGAATCCGGATAGGAAAGCTCCCAAGACAAACGCCACCAGGACACACGCAATGAGCAGAGTGTAGTGAACACTGTGGTTGGACTTATCTACCTCAGGGGGCCGGCGCACTCCTGCAGAGAGGGGAAGAGAGCAAGATGAGTGCACTGTAAAGACACAGCGAGGTGCCAGTTGGGTTAGCTTTTAACAGGGTGCGAGAGCCTAGAGTTCTTAGTAGACTTCTATTCATGTTAGAAACTGCTGACAAACAAAGCAGAGCGCTGGCTGAGCGGGCCGTTCTAAATCAATCAGCAAATGCGCGCTGGTTCAACATCAAATAATGCCAGAGCCTCAAGAACAATTGCTAATGGTCTTGGAGGGAACTAAGCGGTTCTCTCATTAGCCACAGTCTCGAGAGCAGCAGCGCTATGTTCTTGACTCAAAGCTGATTGTGCTCTTCTACACAGAGCTGCACATATGGCGTTAAGGTGGTGCGAAAATGACATGGAGATGTTTTCAGTGACTACAAATTCAAATGAATGCACAGACCACCTTACGGTCTTAATGAGCTGAGGGTAGAGGTGATTTTGCTAACATGTGGATGCTCAGATAATTAGTAACTCCCACTGCCATCTGCACAGTCAGCCTTTCCTTGTTTTTCTCCTTTTTCTCTCTTATTTATAAGAGCCAGTAAATGGAAAAAATCTGCTGTTAGAGATATTTTACATTGAGAGGTATTTTACACTGAGATGTCTGCTAGGAAACTAAATTTTATGTCTTAATTCATTGTAATCCAACATCAAAGATATCACTAAAATCGAAACTGAAAAGGCGGGACATATACACAGCCATGAAAGTGAAGAGAGGTGAAAGCAAGATAGATAGATGAAATGAATAAATTGAACTGTGGCTGCATCCAAAATTGGATACTGTCTTGAATACTGTTTTATACTGTTTGAACTTACTTCACCTGTAAACAACTAATAATAATAATAATAATAATTCGTTACATTTATATAGCGCTTTTCTGGACACTCAAAGCGCTTCACATAGAAGGGGGGGGATCTCCTCAACCACCACCAATGTGCAGCATCCACCTGGATGATGCGACGGCAGCCATATTGCGCCAGAACGCTCACCACACACCAGCTTACTGGTGGAGAGGAGACAGTGATGAAGCCAATTGGTGTATATGGGGATGATTAGGAGGCCATGATGGACAGAGGCTACTGGGCAAATTTGGCCAGGATGCCGGGGTTACACCCCTGCTCTTACGAAAGACTTCCTGGGATTTTTTATGACCACAGAGAGTCAGGACCTCGGTTTAACGTCTCATCCGAAGGACGGTGCTCTTTTTGACAGCATAGTGTCCCCATCACTTTGCTGGGGCGTTAGGACCCACACAGACCACAGGGTGAGCACCCCCTGCTGGCCACACTAACACCTCTACCAGCAGCAACCTGGCTTTCTCAGAAGGTCTCCCATCCAGGTACTAACCAGGCTCAGCCCTGCTTAGCTTTAATGGGCAACCAGTCTTGGGCTACAGGGTGATATGGCTGCTGGCTGAACTATGTTCTATGTTGTATGAATGTGTGTAGTACATTGAATGAAATTCGTACATTACTGTCACATGAGCTACCAGCATCAGTCACGCCGCTTCACTGCCATTTATAAATCCTCTCCCGTGGCCTCATGGGATAGTAAAGTGTCCAGTGAATGCGCACTTTAGAAAGTCTTCCAGGGACTTTTGACCAACTGTTTTTCGAATACTATGAATTCAGACATGTTTTTTACATACTATATAGGGAAGTATTTGATTTTGGACATAATAATTATAATCTGCTAAAGATTTGCTAATTGTGAATTGATTATCAAAGATAACACACAGGAACTAAAATCCACAAAAGTCTTATTCTGAGTCTTAAAAAGATATTCATAAGTGTTGGAACACTTTGCAACATGGCAAGCAAATTGAAAGCACCTTTATCTTATCAAATGAAAATGTCTTAAGGGAAACATTTGTTGCAGACTGCTGAGAGACAAAACTAAAGATAGCTTAAAAGATGTGTAGCAATAGCGGCTTAAGACTTTTGGCAAGGCCAATGAAGTCTCACTGATGCTCATGTCAGTGAACAGCAATGGCAAACACAACACAGTGTCAGAACAGAGTGGGTGGATCACCGTTAGCAAGCTATTGAGTTAGGGAGAGAGCGGGAGAGAGACGCAATTGTGCTTTTTCTAGCTGCTGCAAGCAAAAATACAAATATGAATGCATAATAACTCTATGTGAGAAAAACAAGGATAATCTTCCTCCAGGCATCAATACAAACACATTAGCCGAGCAGCAATTGTGTTATGCTAGCTATAGGAGTAGGAAAGCTTCCCGCCAACTCAATTCTTTACTGTAATGTTTTTCTCCCGAACTGATTATAGATCCAAACCAGAATGAGTTATAGCCAAGTAAACTTCTAAAAGAGTACCCAGTAAACACACATCTACATCTCATAATTATTGAAAGCTCTTAACATGTTTTTTAATAATATGGAGTTTCTAAGGCCAATTTCACACCTGGCTTGTTTGGAGCATTTGCTTTGGAACCTGGTGTGTTTTGGTTCATTTAGGCATAAATGAACACTGGAATCGCCCTCGGATATGCACCAAAACAATTGCTCCGAGATCGCTTCAATGGGGTGGTCTCAGCCCGACTAAGGCTCAGATCCTGCCTCTGTTGTTTTTCGCTTGCAGATTGCTGTTCACAGGCCTGCATTTGTGCGCAAAAAACGTTTTAAGAGCAGAAAAATTAAAACTGAGTGCAGATCTTATTTATTTTGCGTTAGCATTAAGCTGCAGCGTCAAAATTCATGAATTCACAGTTAAATGCTGCAAATATTTTTTCTTACACTTGAAGGGCGATTTACACCTTTAGAAATCTTCCTTTGCACATGCAAATTTATTTTACGCTTGCAATCTTATGTACTCTTTCACAAATGTATGCAATTTTTTCACAAAACCCTGTGCTTGCGATTCTTTATGACATCATTTTTACCTTCATATAAAATGTTGCCTTGTGAAAGCCAACCGAACCAAGAAGAAAATTGTAACAAGTTAAGTCCCTGTTTCGGAACAAAGAAAATGATCTACGAGTGTGAAAACACCGCAAGTCATCAAAACTGACTTGTTAAATGTTTGCATAGAACCCAGAAAAAAAAAAAAACCTACTAATATACCTGAGTTTGCTTCATTCTCTTGTAATAACAATAACAGACTTATGTGCAAATATACTGGAAGATGTCATGTACTGTATAATAGAAGAGACCTTTAACTTTCTCTGACTCATCCTTCTGCTCTCTGCTGGTCTATAAACTGAGGTCTTTGGCCCCTGGGAAGCACTGAGGGCCAGCATATGCTATGTGATGATGGGTGACTCACATGCACACACTTTTAGTGTCACAACAGGTTCGTAGTCCTTTTTCATGACTGAAAAGCTTTTTATTCAATATAGGCTACTGCTATATACACAATTACAAATACTTCCAAGGTCAATATATATATATATATATATATATATATATATATTATATATATAATAAATAAATTAACAAATAAATTGATAAATTGCACCTTTAAATATATCTAGTTGACTTTGTAATTGGGTCAGTTATTTTGAGGGGTATGCAAACAAGATAATCATCATCCAAAAAAAGAAAAAAAGAATAAAAAAAAAAAAAACGATATATGAGAGTTTTTGGCTTCTGGCTAATCCTCCATCTCCCTTTAAAAGTCGGCAAAACAGAGGCTAAATATAGCATAAATATGTGAAGAACAGGGACAGGAATAATAGGGACCTTACTTTGCCAAAAGACAATCAGCCAGACAATTAAAAAAGCAGAGGGATAGAAGATGGAGAGAAACTATTGTAGGAAAAAAATGGCAGAATTGAGAAAGGATAGGAGAGAAGGAGAAAAGAGAAAAGTAAAATATATATATAGACAAATAAATTGTATACGGTATATAGTGAAAACAAGAAGGAAAATGTCAAGGTAGAACTGAAAGTATGGGAGCGGGTAAGAGAAGAGAAGAGAAGAGAAGAGAAGAGAAGAGAAGCTTTCACTCTTTCCCGGCTGTGTGAAGGATTGTGAAGGCATCTGCGAATAACTCCTCACTGACTCAAAGAAAGATCGAACGAACAAGAATAAAGATGAGAGAAAAGGGAAAGAGGGAACTGAGGAAGATGACTACTCTAAGAAAAGAGGATGACAGATTTATTGAGAAAAGATAGGAGAGGAAAAATGAATGGGAGTAAGAGAGTGGGTGAGAAGAAAAGAGGTTGATAGTGAAGTGGTGAAGAGAAAGGAGTGACAGCTTTTCAGTGGTGAAAACTTGAAGTCTTTCAATCTTCCTTTGGGCTGTGTGAGGGATTGTGTAGGCCTCTGTCAAAAAACCCAGTTACTCCTTCTCAAAGAGTTGGAGAGTGGGAGAAAAAAAAATGCTGGAGACATCTATGAAAGCTAAAGGGCAAAAAAAGTGTGTTTAATTGAAAGCAGACTTTTGAGCAACCTCTCAAAGCTCTGCTACAAGTGTGTATATACAAGGGTCTGCCAAAGCTAACATGTTCATTTAAGATTAAAGAAATACTGTAAAGATTTGGTTATCACCATTAAGAGAATGTCATTAAAACTGCTTCTGTTTTGAGTTCATTCTAAAGTTGGAACCTTTGCTAGAGCAGCTGCATAAGTCTCTGTTCAACACAAATATAATCTCAGCCAGGTGCTTGTTTATCTGTGCCATATGGAGAAACTTACCGCATAAACACCTTTTAATGACAAATTTATAGTGGTCGACCAATATTGTTTTTTTTTTTTTGATGGCCGATGTCGACATCTTAGAGAGCAGGGAAGCTGATATAAAGCCATCGGCAACCCTGAGCTTAGCATTATGTGAATACACACATGCTAAAGATGACTAAAAAGATTAATGAAAAAATAAAAATTGGTCTTAATGCCTTAAAGGAACACTCCGACTTTTTGGGACTTTAGCCTATTCACCTTACCCCCCAGAGTTAGATAAGTCCATACATACCTTTTTCATCTCTGTGCGTGCTATAAGTCTGTTTGACGCACCCACCGCTAGCCTA